TGAGTTTGGACATCCCAATCGCCTCACTGCAAGAAGATCTCTGGTTCGAGTCCCGACTGGGTCAGTTGGTGTTTCTGTGTGGAGTTTGCATGTTCTCCCCGTGTTGGCGTGGGTTTCCTCTGGGTGCTCCGGTTTCCCCCACAGTCCAAACACATGCGCTATAGGGGAACTGTGTAAGCTAAATTGTCCGTAGTGTATGAGTGTGAATGAGAGTGTATGGGTGTTTCCCAGTGATGGGTTGCAGCTGGAAGGGCATCGGCTGTGTAAAACATGTGCTGGATAAGTTGAAGGTTCATTCCGCTGTGGCGACCCCTGATTAATTAAGGGACTAAGCCGAAAAGAAAATGAATGAACGAATTAAGATGTATGTATATATATATATATATATATATATATATATATATATATATATATATATATATATATATATATATATATATATATATATATATATATATATATATATATATATATATATATATATATATATATATATATATATATATATATATATATATATATATATATATATATATATATATATATATATATATATATATATATATATATATATATATATATATATATATATATATATATATATATATATATATATATATATATATATATATATATATATATATATATATATATATATATATATATATATATATATATATATATATATATATATATATATATATATATATATATATATATATATATATATATATATATATATATATATATATATATATATATATATATATATATATATATATATATATATATATATATATATATATATATATATATATATTTTTTTTTTTTTTTTTTTTTTTTTTTATGTTTATTAGTCAAAAAAACAACAAAGACCCTCCAGTTATTGAAACTTCTGTGACGATTCATATTTTACCGAAGTCACTCATTAATTTTCTTTTTGGCTTAGTCTCTTTATTAATCTAGGGTTGCCACTGCGGAATGAACCGCCAACTTAACTAGCATATGTCTTACTCGGTGGATACCCTTCCAGCTGCAACCCAGTACTGGGAAACACCCATACACTCCTATTCATACACATACACTATGGCCAATTTAGCCTATTCAATGCACCTATTGCACAGGTGTTTGAACTGTGGGGAAACCGGAGCACCCGGAGGAAACCCACACCAACATGAGGAGAACATGCAAACTCCACACAGAAATGCCGACTGACCTAGCTGAAACTCAAACCAGCTTCTTGCTGTAAAGCGATTGTGCTATTTACTGCGCCACTGTGACACCCATTTTAACATCTTCATTCATTATTTTCTTTTCAGTTTAGTCCCTTTATTAATCTGGGGTGGTCACACAGCAGCACATGTTCTTGCAGCCGCAACCCAGTACTGGGAAACACCCATACACTCTCATTCATTCACACACATACACTACGAACAATATAGCTTACCAACTTCACCCGGAGAAAACCCACGCCAACACGGGAAGAACAAGCAAACTCCACACAGAAATGCCAACTGGCCCAGCCGGGGCTCGAACCTGCAACCTTCTTGCTGTGAGCCGACATCGCTACTCACTGCGACGCCCCTATATTACCAAATTACTTTTAATCATTGATCTTGAACTAGATTACTTAAAACACTATCTTCGAATACAAAATGTAAACTGAATCATTTCTTAATGGACACTGATCCCAGATTGCACATCTGGCAACTCAAAAACTGCTGCAACTCGCAGCCCAATTGTTAAAAAAGGAGATAAAAACGAGTAAATCTACCTCAAAAACTAATTAAAACTAACCGAATTTGAAACAAAAACTAATGAAAAATCAAACTATTATAACCCTAATCTCTTTCAGCTTTACTAATTAGACTTAAATATGTAATATTTGTGTTGATGATTGAATGTTTGTGCTGATTTGCGTTGTCTGTTTTGTTCAGTGTATGCAAATGTGGACATACGGTCCAAGACAAACTTCCCCATTCGGCACGATAGTGTATTGTGTAAGTAAATATAACTACTTTCTGAGTGACTCACAGTAGATGTTGAGGTTTCCTTTGGCTGTCTGAGCGCTGACGGGGTTGCTGACAGTACAGGAATATTGTCCAGAGTCTTGTCTGCTGGCCGAGTTGATGAGCAGAGATCCAGAGCTGATGCTGATGTGGGAATCAGAGGATAGAGGAGCTCCTGCTTTCCCCCAAACCACACTGACCTGAGACCCCGCAGTCCAGCTGCAGCTCACAGACACATTCCCTCCTTCCAGAGGCAGAGACGGCAGAGAGAGACTCACACCGCTCACTGCATCTACACACACAAACACACAGCTGAAGTCAGAATTATTCGCCCTCCTTTTTTAAATATTTCCTATGTTTAACAGAGCAAGGATTTTTTCCCAGTATTTCCTAATATATTTTTTCTTAAAGAGAAAGTCTTACTTGGTTTATTTTAGTTAGTATAAAAGCAGTTTTTAATTTTTAAAAAACATTTTAAGGTCAATATTAGCAATATCTTTTTTCAGTTATCTAACTTTTGTTATACGTTGACCTTTTACCTTACATTTGCCTAATTACTGTAATTAACTTACACTCACCGGCCACTTTATTAGGTACACCTTACTAGTACCGGGTTCTACCCATTTTTGCCTTCATAACTGCATTAATCCTTCATGGCATAGATTCAACAATGTAATGGAAATATTCCTCAAGAGATTTTGCTCCATATTGACATGATAGCATCGCACAGTTGCTGCAGATTTGTCGGCTGCACATTCATGATGTCAATCTCCCGTTTCACCACATCCCAAAGGTGCTTGTTGTCTATGTTGTTGTTTTTACCATTAAAAACTAGTATTTTTAAATGGTTATGGTTAAAATAGGGTAATTTTAATAGTTTAATCAAATTTATTCAACTTTTGGAAAGTGACGCCGTCATTGTCCCGCCAACCCCCAGGGGGGTCCCGACCCCCACTTGGGGAACCACTGTTCTAGTCAGTCCTGTGGGCATACGTAGAATCATATTGTCATAACAGGCAGAAAGACTACTACTATTATTAATTAACAAACTATTCTTTTTAGTCAGCATTGTGGGCATATGTAGCATTATACTTTCATAACTGGTGTAAATACAACTACTATTATTAATCAGCCAATATTCAAAGTCACTTTAATGTGCATATGTGGCATTATACTTCCATAACTAGTGTAAATACAACTACTATTATTAATCAGCCATTATTTAAAGTCACTTTAATGTGCATATGTAGCATTATACGTTCATAACAGGTTTAAATACAACTACTATTATTAATCAGCCATTATTTAAAGTCAGTTTTGTGTGCATATGTGGCATTATACTTCCAGAACAGACGTAAATACAACTACTATTATTAATCAGCCATTATTTAAAGTCACTTTAATGTGCATATGTGGCATTAAACTTCCATAACTGGTGTAAATACAACTACTATTATTAATCAGCCATTATTTAAAGTCACTTTAATGTGCATATGTGGCATTAAACTTCCATAACTGGTGTAAATACAACTACTATTATTAATCAGCCATTATTTAAAGTCACTTTAATGTGCATATGTAGCATTAAACTTCCATAACTGGTGTAAATACAACTACTATTATTAATCAGCCATTTATTCTAGTCAGTATTTGTGTGCATATGTACTGTAGCGTCATACCGAACACCTTGAGCTGCACTGAACACGTGTTCACACTGAGTCCAGAGGTAGACGAGGGTTCGACGGAGACGCTGTAGTTTCCAGAGTCACTGATCTGACAGCTGCTGATGGTGAACTGGGTGGCAGATATTGTGATCCTGCCCTGGAACTGCTGAACCGGCATCAGGACGGGCCCGCCGTTCACCCACATGGCCAGTGTAGTGGCTGCGCTGTCCGTCCATCTGATGAGGGGCACATTTGGCACAGTCTGCACTGTAAACACTGCATTTGTTCCTGAAGCCACCAGTAATGGAGACGTTGAACACTGAACAGAAACAGGGCTCAGACATACAACTGCCAATGGAAAACCTGTGGAGTTTTAGAAGTGCAGTATATTAAAGCTGTAAAATTCCTAATTTAAAGGTTTTTAAACTAATTTAAATCCTTAATTTAAATTAACATCAAGCATTTTAGTTTCAGTCTGTTAGTTTAAAGGATATCTATAGGTTTGTGTTGAAAAAGTTTCAGCAACTTCTGGTTCATGCTGACTTTAGCATATCCTGAAACTGTGGTTGGATCTTGAAACTGTGTGTTTACTTGAATGTCCTACATACTTTTTTTATCTGATGCCATTTAAAAAATGCTTGATCTTTTCTACATAATGTGTGCTCCATAATAATAACCCCTGTTCTACAACCAGACAAAACAAAGAAAGAAGAAAAAAATAACAATGCATTAATGCACTGTATATGAAGAGACAAGCTAATAACATGCGTCAAAGAGCTTAAAATAACATCATAACAAAAGCGCAGAATGCCGTGAAACTAGCAGGTGAACACAAAGGTGTGTCACAAAGGTGTGTCAAAAATGCATACATGCACGCAAAGCTTGAAAAAATTAATGTCTGTAAAACACTCCTTTGTCTACCACATCAGTTTTTTGTTCACCTTATCTTTTTTTTCCATCCCTTACTGCATTTGTTTATACTTTGATGTTATATTTAGCAAGAAAATGCCCTGATGTCTATTTGATGTTGTCCTTTCAATATCAGCCAGGTTTGTAGATTATATTTGTTTCGTGTTTTATGACTATGAGATGTTTCTGATTGGAATGCATGCAAAACTGAGGGAAATTATTGTGTACAATTATTATATATATATATATATATATATATATATATATATATATATATATATACACACACACACACACACACACACACACACACACACACACATATATATATATATATATATATATATATATATATATAGCTTAGAATGACTAAGAGGCGACACTCTAGTGTAATTTGTAAAACAGCCACTAGAGGGCGCGGCGGCCATTATGGAATGAAAACTCCAATAGAACAACATGCATATTATAAGTCTCTAAAACTATTAAAAGTGCTGATGATTGTGATAATAAGTGCTGTATTGTCGTCTTTCAGGTTGTATCTCAGCTTTAATGCACTTTTTAAATAAATAAATAAAAAACAAAGCAGCTGCTTGCCATCGCGACAGTAATGAGATCCAAAGGACGGCCGATCACTTTCACTCCAAAATGGCAGAATCCAGGGCTGTTGCTGGGCGCTGATGTTGCAATGGAACCTTCTATTGAGTGTCGCCTCTTGGTCCTTCTAAGCTCTTTGACTCTACATAAATACACATTTATACATACATGTTTTTTTTTAAGGAAACTTTTTCTGTTGATCAAGGCAGCATTTAATAAATGCTAAAAAAATATTTAATTGTTAAATATTTATAAAAATTGTTATGAATTTCATTCTTTGCTTTCATATTGTATGTAGTTTCAAATGAAATGATTACTCCAATCATTATTGCTTTTATTACTATTGCCATAAATAATAACAATAACAATAATTAACATTAGTGATTTCTGAAGGATCATGTGACTCTCATGATCATGTGAAACTGGAGTAATCAAGCTTAAAATTCATCTTTAAATTACTCAAATAAATTATTAAATTTTATTATAAACTATTTTTAAAAAGTTATTTTGTACTGCAATAACATTTGACAATTTTACAATGTGTACTGCATTTTTTATTAAATAAATGCAGCCTTGGTGAGCAGAAGAAGCTTATTTTAAAAGAGAGTGTGAATATAAAACCAACCTCGGAAGTGCATCTAATAGTAAATTATGCAACAAAAGTATTTGGTGAGCACTTTAAAGCTCAGATTCAGTTTATAGTCAGATTTTAATGACATCTATGTGGAGTTCATAGCTAAATAAACATATTGTACATTAGGAAAAATCT